AAAAAAAAAAAAAAAAAAAAAAAAAAAAAAACCGACAGGTCGTCATATGTACGGATCAATTCTACCCACGTAGAGTACTTTGGTGCTGTTTTCTTTTTTGTGTTTTTTGTGTTTTTTCAACTCTTTGTGCTTTTCGTCTTCTTCTTCGGCAATATCAAAGTACTTCGTCGTTTGGTTTTGGGATGAAGAAGTGGTGTATTTGGTGCTGTGGTCATGTGAATGGACCATATTGCTTTTTTCGGGCAATATCAAAGTACCTCGTCGTATGTTGCTATTCTTAGCGATACCTGCACCAAACTCACTTACCAAGTCTACCCAGTTCTTTTTGAAGTTTTTTCGTCTTTCTTTTTTTTTGTCAAAACATACGCCACTTCTAATCTGGCGGGCCTCAGTCCGGTTGTTCATCACCGGCAAGCATGTTTTTACAAGTGAAGAAAGGGGGGAGGAACAGACGTGGCAGAGGGTCGGCCCATCCCTTCTGGCACTAGTCACCTAGCAAGGGGGAGACTGCTTCGGGGCAGCCCTCCCCCCCCAAGCCGAGGCAGCCCTTCCCCCCAAGCCGTGACCATTCAGAGGGTTGCCCTGCTGTCTGGGAGGCGCACTGGAGGCACCCAGTCACGCAGCAGGGGAGCCTTCGGATAGGCGAGGTGTGGGGGGGAACACTCCTAACAGTTCCTCAGGCCGTTTTTTTTCTTGTTTTCTTTAGATCCATCCCATCCCCCCCATCCCCGGCAACCCCCCTTTTCCCTGTTCTTTGTCAATAAACACGCCTTGCTTGCTTTCTGGTTTTGGTTTGGGTGGGGTGGTCCCGTCTGGGCCCGTGTGTGTTCCCTCACACAGCTGTGGTAACGGAACTAGTTCAGTCGGGAATGGAGCTTGGGGATGCTGATGATCGAGTATTCCAACGGACAAACAGCAAACAGGTATAATCCTTACAACTTTACTTGCTTTATCTTTTCGTCTCTCTTTTGTCTTTTGTCTTTTTCCACTTTGTCTTCTCCCCCACCTCCCCCTCCCTATCCCCCTGCCTGACCTCCCCACAGCCTCCCCTCTCACCCCTGCTTGCTTATTAAAGGGTAGAAACGAGGCGCATATAATACGGTATTAAATTACTATTAAATTAGTATTAATCATACTTGCAAGCGGACGCCGTCCGGGCGGTTCCGCACGTGCGGCGGACCGCCGGACCGGACCCGCGCGGCGCACGAATGTGCGCTTGACGACCGGGGGCCATGCTAATCTTCTTTCTCTGTATCGTTCCAATCTTTTTAAAAGACGTCTGCAAGGACTACAGTTCTTCTTCGTTTTTTTTTTTTTTTTTTTTTTTCCAATTTTTTTGGACTTGCCGTTTCGTTTCGTCTGTCTCTCTCTCTCTCTCTCTCTCTCTCTCTCTCTCTCTCTCTCTCTCTCTCTCTCTTAATAACCACTTGTACCTTGCCGTTTCGTTTCGTCAAGTTTTAGCCTATTTCCGAACTTTTAGGAGGCCGGGCCCGACAACGGCTGCCGTTGATAAATCCGATCGGCGGCCGTCGTTTCGTTTCGGCCTCTGAACCGACAAAGGTACTAGTGGTTTAAGGCTAATTCTTTTAAGCCCAACCAATTCAATTTACCCATCGAATCTGGACAGGACAGCCTTTCAGGCCTTTTTTATTGTCGTAATAGTATTACGGGGAACCCCGTAGCAGCCACATCTGTGCTCAAGCCTCCAAGGAGGGAACATGCAGTACCTGCACCCACCAGCAGGTGTGTGATAGATACCTGCTACGATACTGGCCAGGGGTCAGCCTGTAGCATCAGGACCGAGTTTCTTCGATGGGCCAGTCGCTGTGCCTCCCCTCCGGTTCCCTTCCCCGATGAACATCAGCAGTCTCTGCTCAGTGCCACTGCGGGGTCGGGGGGACCAACGGCCTATCTCTAGGTGGCGGGCGCCAAGCTTGCCCAGGAAGGTACATGAGGCCTATGGGGATTGAACCCAAGACCTCCTGAATGCCACTTGTGTGCCTTAACAACTGAGTTCCGACTAGGCATCCGGCTGTTATTGCCGAGGTCACCGGTTCAATTCCGTCTGGCTGCGGATCGATCAGGGCTACAAGGGCAAACTTATCAATAGTGTATGAGTGCAGTAACCAGCCACGGGAGGTTACTTGGCGATGGTGTCTTCGCGGATGTTGGCAACTGCGGAGGATTTTAGATTCTGTGTGGATGTTGCTGCCTGCGGCGGATCTCATGGATGTCATGCGTTGACGAGTAAGTCCTTGCTGCAACTGTGCTGGGGTGAGCTGAATGTCACGACCGGTATGGCTTCGGATTTGAACACCGGGTCACAGCGGCGGTAAAGGCATCCGGCTGTTATAGCTGAGGTCACTGGTTCAATTCCATCTGGCTGCTGATCAATCAGGGCTACACCGATTCCGAAATGTTTGAATCGCTGCAAAGACCCGATTATGACATGTGTTCGAGTCGTACATCAGACTACCTTCTTCCCCCGAACACAACGCACCCTCATCATGAATGTACACAGGTACTGTCTTCAGTGTCATGATGACGGTGCAGCGTGTTCGGGGGAGGAGGGTGGTTCAGGAGTTGAGGTTAGGGGCCCTATTGGTGAAAGGCTTAGGTGTCAGTGAAAGGGGGGGCCACTAAGTTCTGTGTCTGGAGTGAGGCAGTCTTCTAACGAGAGGAAAATACCTCACAACCGTGTAAATGTTGCATGCCGACCGGAACGCTCCGAGGAGAGTATGTTCCTAGACATGCAGTTGCCCAGGTGCATGGTCTTACAATGCCGCTAGACATGCAGTTGTCCACGTGAATGGTTTATACTGGGGTGTTCAGACGTCCAGGTGCATCTGCACTGGGGCATTCTACCCAAAAGACCTCACAACTGTGTAAACGTTGGACGATGACCACAATGCTCCTGGGAGAATATATTCGTAGACATGCAGGTGTCCAGGTGCACGATTTCACAACGTTCCTAGACGTGCAGTTGTCCACGTGTGTGATCTGTACTGGAGTGATAAGACATCCACGGCGCAGGGTTGCAGAGGTGTTTGCCCCTTCGGTCAACCACCATCGCCAACTTCTTCATCCATTGCTGCTGCCTTCGAGGGCCTCCAACCGTTCAGATGATATTCACTAGGTCATGGTTAAGCATCCCCAGGGAGAGTCTTAGGGAAAGTTCACGGAAGGCTAGGGAGGGCGCTCTTGTGAGCGCTGGCAAGGCTCAGGCAAGGGTCGTGGGCAGCTTGGTGATAGCTCGGGGAAGGCTCGTGGAAGTCTCCGGGAGGCCCAGGGAAGGCTTGGGTAAGGCTCAGGCAAGGCTTCTGGACAGCTTGGTGACGACTCGTGGAAGGCTCGCGGAAGTCTCGGGGAAGGCTTGGGTAAGGCTCAGGCAAGGGTCCTGGGCAGCTTGGTGATGGCTCAGGGGGGCGAAGTCTCAGGGAAGGCTTGGACGGGCTCACGGAAGGCTAGGAAGGGTTCCGGGAAGGCTTGGGCAAGGCATGGGTAGGGCTCAGGAAGGGTCGTGGGCGGCAGCTCGGGGAAGGCTCGGTGAAGGCTTGGGGAAGGCTCGGGGAAGGCTCGGGGAGGCTAGGGAAACGCTTCGGAAACGCTCAGGGAAGGTTGCGGGAGGTCAGGGGAAAGCTTGGGTAAGGCCCTGGCAGGGTCGTCGGAAGCCTGGTAATGGCTTGGGGAAGTCTCGGTGAAGGCTCGGGGAAGGCCCGGGGAAGGCTTAGAAAACGCTCAGGGAAGGCTAGGGTGGGCTTGGGGAAGGCTCAGGGGAGGGTTGGGGAAGGCTTAGGGAATGTTGTGGAAAGCTTGGTCAAGGGTTGGGGAGGCTCGGCGAAGGCTTGGGGAACACTTGGGGTAGGCTTGGAGGTTTCGCCATTCTAAATTTAGCAATACTCTGTGCGCTTTCGGGCTCACCATGGCAGCACACCTGCCCTGGTACTGCCATCATGTGTGAACTTGTGCGTCTCTCAGTTGTCACCGGCCAAGCCCTGCTCTTGGGCCGGACGGACATAACTACTAGTGCACTTAGCCCATAACTTTTTTCTGATCCCAAACAATATGGCTGCACTTAGCCCATAACTTTTTTCTGAGCCCAAACAATATGGCTCGCACGACGTCCTAGCAGAGGTCCGAGCTGCACCACTGGCTATTTCGGGGCTCTGTCTCTGTCTGTTTGGGCCTGGGAAGAATGACTACGAGGGGGCCCAGCATGCACATTGGTTGGGACAGGAGTTGGGCCCAAAAGCCATATTGTTTGGCCTGGCTTTTCTGGGCACAAACAATATGGCTTCTGGGCCCCAATCTGACCCCCAAACAATGTGTCCCCCACCTACCGTCTTCACCTGAATAGAACGCCCGGTCATTATCGCTGCATCTGGACAGAAAATGGCCCCAAATACGGCTATAATGACCGGGCGTTATATTCGGGTGAAGACGGTAGCGATGCTGACCCGGCCCAAGTATTGTGCCCCTTTAGGGAACTTCCAGTGCACACGCTGCGATAATGACCAGGCGTTCTATTCGGGTGAAGACAATAGTAGTATTTCTGACCAGGCCCAAACAATGTGGCTTCTGGACCCTCCGGAGAAAGCTCCGAGCTGGACGAGGGAGTAGGCCAGTAGCTTCTGGGCCCAACTTAAAGGGCAACTGGGCCTTGGCCTGGTCAGAATATTTCCCTGGTATGGAACAGTCGCTGCCGAGCACAATAGAAACTGAAGGCGGTGAACGTAGCCCCTGCACAAGCAGTAATCAGTTGAGCCGTTAAACCCAACCCATGTATCTGACAAGCCCAATGTATAGCTTCCAAGCCTTATCGATACTCATGCTCATGTTCTCTCATTCCATCATTGGACCCCTTTGCATGGTTATTTGACTTTAAATTGTAACCATTCTATCATTCGTTTCACCTCCTTTTGCCGTCTTCACTCACTTTGCTTCTCTGTCTTTCCACTTTCCTTATTAGTTGTCACTGGCCTCTCTCTCTCTCTCTCTCACACACACACACACACACACACACACACACACACACACACAAACACACATTGGGGCTGTTGTGGGGAAAATCTAACACACACACACACACACACACACGCACACACAGGCTTCTCTCTCTCTCTCTCTCTCTCTCTCTCTCTCTCGTGGATGTACAGGAGTTTTGGTCCACTGCTTTGTTAAGTCTCTGGAGAGTTATGGGTTACCTGTAGGTCCAAAGACGCATATGTTGTACCAGTGGAGTTTTCATCCACTGCTTCAGCTCACGATTGTGTTGCAGCACTTCAGGTGATAGACGAAGTCCTCATTTTCAGTGTATGGAAACCGTCCTCCTCCTATACCTTGCTGCTGCAGTGCTCACTTCTTTTAGGTGCTCATGTGCAGTGTTTAATTGCTTTTCCTAGCGTTTTTTTTGTTTAGTTTTTCAACTTTTTCTTTTCTCTGTGTGGCGGGTGGTGAGTAAGCAGGGGTAAAGCCTTTTTCGCATCTGGTGTGATTATTTATTTAATATTTATGTATTTATTTAGTTCGAGTGGGGCAGAGGCGGGGAGGAGGGGAGCACGTGTGTTTACTCTTTCTGATTCATGGCTGCAACTTTCTTGAACAGGAAAATGGCACAGTTGGAATTCTGACAAAAGACATTCTGACTAGAGAGACGTACTACAGGTGGGAACCAGTGCACAGTGCACACCTTTTCTTTCTTTCTTTTTTTTTTTTTTTTTTTTTTCTCTTTTTTTTTTAACGCACACATCTCACTTGTGAAGAAGAACATTTCTTCAGTGAAAACAAAGGAGGAAAAGGAGAGGGAAAAAAAAGAGGAGGAAAAGGCGGAATGAGTAAAACTCGTGAAAAGGAAGCCAAAAAAGGCCCTTTTTTTTTCTTTTTTTTTGAAAGCGAACAGACGAAAAAACAGCAGAACATTCTGCTCCCTTGGCCTGATTCTTATGTTCCAACAGCATATGATGATGCTACGTGCGGGGTACTTGAGTTGTGTTCTCTTTTTTTTTTTTTCCTTTTTTTTTTTTTCCTTTTTTTTTTTTTTTTTTTTTTTTTTTTTTTTTTTTTTTTTTTTTTTTTTTTTTTTTTTTTTTTTTTGTTTTTTTTTTTTTTTCCTGAATATGACCATTTCATTACAAATAGAGAGGAGGCCGGGGATACCTCACAAACAACCCGGAGGAACTCAGCTTCGGCTTGTGCTGGAAACTGGGTCCAGTGTCCCCTTTCCTCAAATCGTTCTGCAGGCATCATCCTAGAAATTACCCCTGACAGCTCAACAACGCTACCACTTGAGATCTAAACCACGGAAAGTAAATAGTGAAACTAGGACATTTAAAAAAAAAGAAAAAGAAACTAGGACATTTTGAAACACATTCATACAACGACTACCATCTTCCCCCGAACATAACGCACCCTGAAAAGAGGGAAAGTATACAAGGTATGTTTCCGGCCAGATACAGTCAGAATGAGGGTGCGTTGTGTTCGAGGGAAGACGGTAGATGTCTTACACACACCGATCCGCTCACATCTATCATAGCTTACCCTCGTATCTTTACTATCCGAAAACACTGTAAAAAGCCTGAGGCAAAAGTTGTTCAGTTTTTTTTTTTTTTTTTTTTTTTGCTGGGATCTTCCCTGGTCCTTGCACAGCTGGGCCGCCTGGGAAAACAGGTGACCCGGGCGACCCGGCTGGTCGCCTAGGATAATTTGCAAAAAAAAAACATAAGTTGCGATATATGCTAAAATGCCCCTGAACGATGCGGGTAGAGTGGAATGTAGTGTATCAAAACCCTGCATCCTTCAAAAAAACAAAGAGCTTTTTTTTTTTTTTTTTTTTTAAAACGACACTGCCACACTAGGAGTGGTGATATGAGCACCCCCCTCGTAGTGGGCCGCCTGGTTGCTCCAATCTATTGGTGGGGAGCAGCACCTGCGGGAAAACGGGTCCAGCGTCCCACTGAACATCTCAAGGCTGAACTCCACTGTGTATAGGTGATACTATAATAGTGTCTTTGAAACAAGCACGAATGGGTCGCAACACTGTGTATAGGTGATACTACAATAGTGTCTTTGAAACAAGCATGAATGCGTCGCAACACTAGGAATGTGCTTAAAAATAGGCTATTGTAGTGGAAACAAAAAAAGCCACCAAATACCAACGGGCCTAGCGCAGTTGGTCCACTCATGAACTGTTGATATACAGACCCAAGTTCGAATCCAGATGCAGTCAGATTTACAACATAACATATTTTCTTATAGAAGAAAAAAAAAGAAAAAGAAAAAAAAAGAAAGCCACCAAATACCAAGAAGATGGCAGTGTCCTTTTGCGCCGAAATCCTTGTGTTATGCCCCTGTCAGGCCGGTGTGCAAATTTGCAATCTGGACCTCGCCGTTTGGGCCTTGGCCTTTTGCGACCGGGCCTTGGAAAAGTTGGCAAGTACCAGGGTATTTTGCAAAGTTGGATGGGACCTGGTAGGGGTATATATTGTAAAGATGAGCGGTCCAGGGGTATTTCACAAAATTATCGAAATATGTGTTTTTTGTCAGAGGGGCATTCCGCACTTTGCACATCTTTCAGGTGCTTCAGTAGACTCTTTGTTGATTTATGCGTGTCATGATGTCATCCTTTTGCAGGGGCCATGCTAATCTTCTTCTTTTTTTTTTCTTTTTTTTTTTTGGTGGCCATGCCAATCTTCTTTGTATCGGCCCTATCAGGACATCTGTTAAAGCTTAAAAGTGTCACTCATGTCTACGCTGGCAGAACAGCAATTCTCCGTCCTTCCCGACGTCCGTCAACATTGGAATGATACAGAGAAAAGAAAATGAACAAGGCCCCTGTGCAAGGATGACACACACAAGTCGAGAAATGGTCAGCATAAAAAGAGTTAAAAAAAAAAAGAAGAACAGCAATTCTTGTACAGGTGTCCGCAAAGTTGTTGGGCAGATACATCTCAGCAAAAGTCTAAGGCACATAGATAGATCTCAGCAATATTCTCAGACACATCTTAGCAAACCAACAGGATAGCATGCGGGTTCACAACAACAACAACAACAACAACAACAACAACAACAAAAAAAAAAAAACAAAAAAAAACCGACAGGTCATCGTATGTCAGTGTCTCTGAACTGATCAATTCTT